ATGAAGAATGGTATTTAGTTTCAACACAACACACCATGTGTGTGTATATATTCAGTAGTTTAACACTCAACATCCTGAAAGAAGAATGGTATTCAGTTTCAGCACAACACACCATGTGTTTATCTTTAGTAGTTTAACACTCAACATTCTGAATGAAGAATGGTATTTAGTTTCAACACAACACACCATGTGTTTATCTTCAGTAGTTTAACACTCAACATCCTGAAAGAAGAATGGGTATTCAGTTTCAACACACCATGTGTTTATCTTTAGCTGTTTAACACTGAACATCATGGAAGAAGAATGGTATTTAGTTTCAACACAACACACCATGTGTATATCTTCAGTAGTTTAACACTCAACATCCTGAAAGAAGAGTGGGTATTCAGTTTCAACACAACACACCATGTGTTTATCTTTAGTAGTTTAACACTCAACATCCTGAAAGAAGAATGGGTATTCAGTTTCAACACACCATGTGTTTATCTTTAGCTGTTTAACACTGAACATCCTGAAAGAAGAATGGTATTTAGTTTCAGCACAACACACCATGTGTATTATTCGATGGTTTCATTGTACAAATAACAAGAGTACAATTTTTTAGATGATTTAAAAACAGCCAGTTAAAAGTGTCGTGAAAGCTCGTTAAAAACTATGATTTTGTACTTTTGTAAATTTTTGAATTATATTTGGAAATTATTAAAATATTAGATATGATTCTTCAGATGTTTAACACAGCAGAATCTGTTCTCTAATGTGAATATACTTTCCTAACGAGGGTTATAATAAGTATGTGACCACACTTTCCTGACGTGGGTTATAGTATGTGACCACACTTTCCTGATGTGAGTTATAGTATGTGACCACACTTTCCTGACGTGGGTTATAGTATGTGACCACACTTTCCTGACGTGGGTAAAAGTATGTGACCACACTTTCCTGATGTGAGTTATAGTATGTGACCACACTTGCTTGTCGTGGGTTATAGTATATGACCACACTTTCCTGACGTGGATTATAGTAAGTGACCACACTTTCCTGATGTGAGTTATAGTATGTGACCACACCTTCCTGATGTGAGTTATAGCATGTGACCACACTTTCCTGATGTGAGTTATAATATGTGACCACACTTTCCTGATGTGGGTTATAGTATGTGACCACACTTTCCTGATGTGAGTTATAGTATGTGACCACACTTTCCTGATGTGAGTTATAATTAATTGATAATTTAATTTGAGAAATATATCAAAATGAAATTAATAACTTACATATTACTTTGTTTATCATCATACCAATGAATTACACTGACATAGAATGTATCATTTTACTTTTTTTGTTGAAAGAATCAAAGTTTTCAGATAATTTGAATAACGTTTTTACTACGACATTGTATTGTGTTAAGATAATATTATAGCAGAAAAATTTATTTGTCTTACATATTAGTTCACAGATGGCGCTACAACATCTTTTTTGAAATCACTAAGATGCGCAAATATCCTCGTCCAATCAAAAATATTTGATCATTTAAGATCTGTGAAAGATTTATCACGAAAACAACAACAACAAAAAAAAACAAAACTATTTTCAAATTTTTTTCTCATCATTACTTTACGTTTTAGCTCAATATATTCCAGAAAAGAGGACTAACGATCGTTCCTTGCTTTTATCAGAGGAACAGTTGTAGAATGGGATATGTCTTAGATATTAATAAATCTGAGCAAGTCACAAGATTACTGAGTGAAATATGAGCCACCTCCGGTTCGGAAGATTAACATGAAGGTTACCAACAACAGCGCTACCAGAAGACTCTCAAGGCGTACACGTGTTTTGTAATTCAGCGTGGCGAAGAACACGGAGACAATGTTGCCTGTGGCAGAATGAGGAGTGTCCATATTACACTTGGTCCTTTTATGTAAAACACTACAAGCAACACTGTGTTTCTGGATAGTTATTTTTGCACGTATTTTTCTGGTAACTTTCAGTCCTTATCTGATTACAATTACAGTGTCAAATACAATGCTATGAATTGTAAAAGATGTAATACAATGATATTTTTTATTTTTTTACTATTAACACATGGTAATAGAACCCTAATTTCAGGAGTGAGGAACTATCATACTGTCTTATAGATCCTGAAAATACAATGTAACAGATTTATTAAAAAATTACCCTCGAAGCTTGAAGTCTGATAACGCTAAAATTTAGAGTTCGATCTTTTCGGTTGGCACACTGTAAATGCTTTAATTTTCAATGAACACATACTGCTTAATATAGATCTTTATTACTGCTCCATCTAGTGGCGGTATGTAGCTTGAAATAAGCGGAAAATGATTGGTTGCCAGTGATAGAGAAGAGGTTGTTTTCCCCTGGTGGACAAATCGCTGATATCTTACTGTGTAGCTTTGAATTAAAAAACAAACTTATGTTTACAATGTAAAGTACATACAATATCGCTACTTAATATTTTACACGTATTTAAAATCTTACTATGGTTTATGATTTAAGTTTCTGTCAGTAAAGTTTATAAATGAAAAATAATTAACAGTGTTTAAACTCCATCTCTCAAATATCAAAAGGACCAATAAGTGACTATCTAGGAAAGTTTAAACTCTATCTCTCAAATATCAAAATGACCAATCAATGACTATCTAGGAAAGTTTAAACTCTATCTCTCAAATATCAAAATGACCAATCAATGACTATCTAGGAAAGTTTAAACTCTATCTCTCAAATATCAAAAGGACCAATCAGTGACTATCTAGGAAAGTTTAAACTCTATCTCTCAAATATCAAAAGGACCAATCAG